TTCTGTTTAATACAGACGAGCTGTCACAAACCCTAACTGTGCGGGAATTAATGTGGCTTTTAGCCCTCTGGGGTTTAATGCTTTTAGGCTAAACGTTAAGAGGACAGTGTTGGTCTCTCCAAAGATAATGATGATGGTCTCTGGTTTTGAGGTCATCATTCTGCCCGTTTTCTTCTTTTTCCCTACGGAGTGAAGCTGAGTGAAACTCCCACATTGGACGTGTTAGAAGGCTGAGCCGAGGCAGCAAAGCAATCTCCTTCTGCCGTGGTGGTACCGCAAGGGGCCTGATAGGGCTATTCATGCCGCCTCACCAACTTGAGGTTTGAGGGCAGCATCATGGGATGTTGGAGTGGGAAATGATGCCCGGGAAGCTCATGGGAGACAGCCCATGGCACTGGCCACCCCATCCAAACCGAGCTGCAGAAGATGAGCAGTGAAATGTTGGGATAAATATCTGCAAGAAAACAGGCTGACCCTTTAGCTGAGAGAAGAGACCGCTCTGGGGTGGAGAAGCAGGTGTGGAGGTCTGTATGGCAACACTGGTGATGTATGTGTTTGCAGATGGGGCTATGCAGAAGCAAGCCTACAGAGGGGAGTGGGGGCTGGTCAGAGACTGGACTTGAGAGAGGAGAGGAGAGGGATGAAGGGGTCTTCAGAGGTGCTTGTGGTTAGAGAAGCAAAGGGGGAAACTAGGAAAGAAGAGTGTCTCATCAGCCGAGAAGAAGCGCTGAGCTGGCTGTGCTAGAGGCAGGTAAGAGGGATGAGAAAAGCTCGCTGGCTGCGCTGCGGCTGGAGAACCACGTTATGGTCTCAGCAGAAGCCGTTTCGATGGTGAGCCTGGGGCAGAGGCTGCGTTGGAGGAGGCGTAGCGTGGAGCTGGAGTGACTGCAAATGGCATCTTCAATGAGCTCGCAGGTGAGACAGGAAAGCAGTGGTAGCCATAAAAATCAGCAAGGGTAATGGTGTTTTTTTAGAGAGGGGCATTAAAAAGATGCACTGCAAAAGAAAAGAGCCAGAGATGCATAGGGATGAGGCGATAACAAATAAAAAATGTTAAAATTAAGTCACTAGCGTAGGAAGATGTGTCGATGGGAGGCCGCACATGAGCAGCCTCGGCACGTGTTGTGCAAATGGGGAAGCAATGGTTAAAACGTAGGAGGGGGAAATCTCATTCCTCAGTTTTGTCTGAGAAGGAGACTCTGTGAAGAGCCACAGAAGAGGTGGGGGAGGACTGGGAAAAGCAGTGGGAAGGCACCTGTGGGAAGGACAGTTGTTGAGGAGGGGAGCCTTGGCCAGGGCCTTTCGCCTTCCAAAAGCCTGAGATAAGGACAGGGCAGAGGTGTGATTTCCATGAAGGCGGGATGGGCAGAAGTTCAGGATTGAAGAGAGCGACGAGGGGGAAGAGGTTACATGTGATGAGGGCCTGAAACCTGTGGGGCATGAGAGACTTGGAAAACAGAAGGAAAACTTGGCAAAGAGGGAGAAAAGAAGCGACGTGGTGAGCGCCTGGTGAGATTAACGGCAGTTTTGCTAATGGGTTAGAGTGAAACAAGGGCACTGGGGGAATTTCAAACAACTTGGGCCACCCAGAGCCCAAGAGCTCTGGTCCTCCTTGCGAGCCGCCCCACCAGCAGGGATTTGGAGCCCGGCATCAGCAGGATTCTTTGACGCCACACGCGAAGCACGAGATCTCCAGCGGCTGCAGGGTGAGCTGGATCATGCCTGGGCTCTCTGATGCCTTTTAATGTAGTTAAGCAGGTCTTGTTTGCACTCTGGTGACTTTTCCTCCTTTTGATAAAGCGGTTTTCTAAAAACTGGTAGAGCCAGTGCAGCCTTGACTTTTACAAGGTGCCTTGTCTGATACTAAAATACAACACCAATAATCTTACCTGACTTAAAAAAAAAAAAAAGCTATCTCTGCAGCCAGTATAGTAAAGGTTTTAAATTTTCTGGTGATGTTCTTTGTAAAATGT